CACACACACACACACACACACACACACACACACACACACACACACACACACACACACATGCACCTGCAAACCACATGGTTCAGTCAGGGCCTGCACACCACCACGCAGACATTTTTATTTTTCGTGTCCTGGTTCCAAACTTAAAAGCTTCGAGGTAATTCTTACTGCACACACTCTGAAACCAGTGCTAGACACTAAGTAATGTTTAATTTTCACAGAAAGTAGTATTGGTATTTGCTAAGTATTTGTTTTCTGAAGAGAACGCATGAAATGCAAATGACTTAAAAACTAAATTTAAGGTCGTATTCAGACCTAATAATTTGCTCTGCTTTAAACGAACCAGAGTTCGTTTCCAGTGTTGGTCCGGACCTTTTGTGCAGGTGTGAATACACTCATGTGAACTCTGGTGCAGATCAAACAACCGGACCGAGACCTGCTTTTTGAGGTGGTCTCGGTCCGCTTCCAAACGAACTCTGGTGTGGTTCGGTTCAGTTCTCTTCTGGTGTGAATACAGACCGGACTCTAACCGAACCAACTGCATTAAACATGCACCTTTGTGGACGTCACAGGCCACCGTTGCTGAGCTAAATAAACTGAAAACATACCTGTTTTGTCGTCTCCTGTTAGCAACTCTGCTGCCAACATGTTGTGGGTCAGAACACGCAGAGCATCTCGTCTCCTTTGGGTTGCGGGACACATTTGCTGACGCCGCTCCAAAATTAGAATATCATCACAGAACCACCATTAAATTAGCTGCTTCTGACATTTTAAATGCTGTTGCAGTTGTACTATCAGCAAAAATGTGCGGATCAGAACCGCAGCATGCAAGACTTCCTTGTTTTCTTCTGGGTCTGTGGCTTAGTCCCGCCCTTTTTTTGTCCAATGGGAGCAATGATCGTCACACTCGTGGCTTTGTTTACAAGTTATAGTTCATTTGCAAAAAAGCACAATGTGAATGCAAACTGCACCAAACGAGAAAAAAAGTCCATTTTTGGTCCGGACCAAACAATTGGACCAAAGGACTTTCCTGGTCTGAATACACCCTAAATATTTGTCTCTTTCATCCATCAGTTCATCCATGACCTGCCACTTGTCCCAAAGTTGGGTCGCAAGGTGTTCCCAGGTCAGCCAAGAGAAGATGTTTCTCCAGCATGCCCTGGGTCTTCCCGGGATCTTTTCCCAGTTGGATGTGACCAGAAACCCACCCATCATCCAGACAGCATCCTTACCAGATGTTCGAACCAGAAGCTGTACTCCAAGTTTCTCTCAAATAGCCAAACTTCTCACCTTACCTGTAAGGAAAAGTCCAGCCACCTTGTGGAGAAAATTCATTTCGGTGACCTGTATCTTGAGCTTTTGGTCTCAACCCCAAAAATTTGTAACCTTAGGTGAGGGTAGCAAAGTTGACTGGACGATAAACGGAGAGCTTCACTTTGCAGCTCCGCCCCCTCTACCACAATGGGCCAATACGAAGTGTGCACTTGAGACAGCGCCTCACTCCAAACCTGGTAAAGGAAGTTTACCGTCTTCTGACTGCAGAGTATCTTTCTTTTGTCTTTTATGTTTTAGACATTTAACATCATTTCATGCTGCTGTCATTGCCAATTAAATTAGGCAATGTTTGACAAAAATAAAAAAAATAACATCATTACCAAGAACTGACCTGAAAGACTTCAGCAATTTATAGTGACCTTGACCAGGACATGGATGGATGGATGGATGGATGGATGGATGGATGGATGGATGGATGGATGGATGGATGGATAGATGGATGGATGGATGGACTGAGCTGAATCCAATAGGGTCAGGGCCAGGGTTGGGTCCTAGCACGGACGTCCTCCCCCCCTCAACGTCACCTACTCCTCTGAACCTGCCCCATTTTACCTCCCCTTTATGTGTTATCTGACCTAACCCAAGCTGACTTGCACTGTAGGCAGAGTAGTTTTTTTGAGCGCATGTTTGTGTGTTTCTGTATAAAACACAGGATCAGAGATCTTTTTTTAACTCACCTTTCCTATTGCGTGTGTTTTCTAAGCTGCAAAAGGTAGCACACCATAGTGCGAAAGACACTGGACATTCGTTCCCCCATGTTTGTCATGTGTGTGTGTTTTTCCGGACGGATGTTCTAAACTGCAAATTTCGTTCTGCACTGCATCTTGATGTTGTGTGTGAATGACAATAAACAATTCTGATTCTGATAATAATACGTTTATAAGGACATTGTTGGAAAGACACATGAAATGGTTGCTCTTTGGATATTATGAACTTCAAAGAAATAGGAGACATTTAGGCATAATTTGGGGGTCTAATATTGTCTTATAGATGACTATTTCCTAGATATGTGACTAGTTGGATACAAAACCCCAAGGGGTACACGTACCCCCAGTTGGGAATCTCTGATCTAGAATAATGGAAACTACACTGAGAAAGTTTGAGACACCTGACTTTGACTATTTTCTGAGAAAAATTGTTTCAGATATTTGGACATGCTAAAGATCCAGTCACTCAAGAGTGAGGCCCCACAACTCACAAGGAAATGGACAACTTTTGCCAACATTAGACCTTTTGGAAACGGCCTCACAAATGCTACACAATTTGTCACAATCAGTCTTTGCCCAGTGAAACATGAAGCACATGGCAGACAGGTGTGGGTCAGATCTGGTGTCGGGCTGGCACTGTTGGCATGGCGAGTGGTTTGTCAACAGGATGTGGGCCATGTCTGGCAATGAAGGCTCTGTTTTTTTTAAGAATGCATGCAACAGCTGGCCCGGTTGTGGTTTAGTTTGTGTGGTGCTGATCCATGCATGGACCACCTCTGGCTAACTACATCTGTCTCCAAAGTGCCGTCATTCTTTGCGATATCTGGGCCGAGTGTGGGTCAGAACTGGGCCACGCAAATTTTACTATGTGGGTAAAGAACTTCTAGCTTTTGGTAAACTGAAAGCTGTTGTCTTGTTGACTTTTCTTGCTAAAAATGCACATTCTGAACTGTAATTCAGGTGGGCATGACACACTTTTTTTGTTGTTCTAAGTTTTTTATTTTTTTATTTACACACCATAAAGGCTCACGCGGGGCCTCTAAAAGCTGATGAAAACAACTTGTGGACAGAAAGCGATGAGATTGACTCATTTTACCTTCCTGCAAGATGCTGACATCCCCCTGTGGGCGCCACTGTGTGGGCTGACGTCTGCGTCCAGTCAGACGCCTCAGGACCAGCCAGATTATTTCAGAAAGTCAAGCTTATCAGAAATATGTGTCCTGCATTCAGCCTGCCATCCATTCATGCTGTCATCTCTTTTGTGGGTAGCCATGACAACAGAGGGAAGCTATGGCTATAGGCCGCCTGATTTGAAGGTGCTACTCTGAATAGCAGCAGTATGACAAACACGGTTCTCACCTGGTAATTTGGACGTCCTCCTCCGATTGTGCTCAGTCTCGGGCTAACGATATGCAGCGTTACTCGAGGGGTGAACTATTTTGGAGCGCGCAGGTGACAGCTGCGGTTTACAGCGACACGGCGGACACGCGGGGATAGGAAGGTATCGTCGGCAAAGAAGGGTCGTCACAGCTGTCAGCATCTGAATTAGTGTGAGGCGTCTCGGGGTCCTCAGACTGAAGCCAGAGTTTCACTGCCTGCCTCTGCCTCCCTCCACACAACCTCCAAGGTAATAATGCCTATCAGTCTCTGTCACAGTGGGCTGTGTGTGCTCTTTCATGCATGTGGTCATTGAAAGATATGCTGTGTGTGTGTGTTTGGAAGGGGGAGGGGGTGTCCCTGATAAAGCGCTGATAGTGTCCATCCATGACAGATGATGTACAGCTTGCTGTCTCTCCAGGCAGATTGGATTTTCAGGCCTGCTGATTCGCTGAGAGATGAAGCCTGGACCTCCTTCAAAGACACCCACACAAACACACCGTCCACCTGTTCGGCCTGCGCGCACAAAGTAAGCACACGAAAGCCCGCACACAATCACACAGTGAGACAATCCGTGCACACGGCGCACACAAAATAATACACACACTTATACATTATTCTGCTGCCAAAGCCTTTAAAGGCAACCATGTGGAAATTGATCTCCATTTCTAAAGAGCTCGGATTCATTGTTACAACCTTCTCTATGCATCTTGTCCTCTCTCTCTCTCTCTCTGTGTGTGTGTGTGTGTGTGTGTGTGTGTGTGTGTGT